AAAGTTATTTAACTTTAAACAATTAATTTAAATAATTACTATTGTTTCAGTAGCCAAAAATATTACCTAATAATTACATTCGTGTTAAACTAAATCTATTAATCTTTATTTTTACAATAAAATAATTTTAATTTCAGTATTTATAACGACTTTTATAAATAAACGGTTAAGTTATCCGTGGTTGCCATAATAGTATCAACAATACTCAGATATTGATAGGCATTGTTGCTACAATTAATATTGAATGTTAAATATCTTTTCATTTATCAATTCTAGACATTAAAAGTTTATTTTTTTAGATAGAAAATTTATTAATCTGTTAGATGCAAAAATAAAAAATAGGATGTTCCATTTAAATTTTTTAAGTTATTTAACTTTTAACAAACTTCTTAATTTATTAATCTTTACAAATGCAAAACACTAAAAAATTGCTACATCTTTAAATTCTGTACTTTCTCCTTTGCAGAAGTAAGAAAAAATTTGTTCTAGCTGTCTTAGTTTTTGTGTAATAAACTTTTAAAAAGTGCATGTTTTCGTCAAAAAAAACCGTCTTATTTCTAAAATTAAGCGAAATCGACAAATAAAAGTTTAGGACGAAAATGTTGTTCTGAAAGACTACATTCAAAAATACTAAAAAAACAGACGGTGTTTCATTTAAAAAAAAACACAAGTTTGCATCGTAACTTATTTTTGAGACATGCTGTATGGATGAAAATAATTTTAGGTGATGCACTAGATTAGTATCTATTAATGTGCTATACATTTTTTTTTAATTTTACCATTTAAAGGTCACTTTTTCAACTCGCTGGGACATCCTGTATAAAACAACATGAGTAAGAAATAACTAATAAAAGAGATGAAAAAAAAATAAAGCAAAAATATCAAAAATTCAGTTAAGCCAATCTGAAAATACATAGATCAGACGCCCGAGAATGCGGTTTCAACCTTTTTTCAGCTCAAAATGCTGAAATATCGAAATGAAAGAAAAACTAGAGATACAGCACGCCAATATATGGGTCACAGGAATCAATGTGACTTGTGTGATTGTAACAGTATTGATGGTGGCAAATATCGTCTGTGGGCCTTTCCACCCGGAAACTCCAGTAGTCGAGCCCGGAGTTTGAAAACCTCCCTTGGCTCAAATGCAGTAACTAACCTGATTCGTCAGAGTGGGCCTACAGCAGCATGCCTCCATTTTGTGTTACTGTGTGGTCGGGACTTGAGTGAAGCAGCAGCCCTGGCCGCGTCCGGTGGCCGCCGTCATCCTCGAAAGCACTTCCACTGTGTTGCACGGCAAACTGTGGCACCTCGCCTACGGCTCGCAACACCTCATTTTCGCGTTAATTCACCTTTTGCACGACGTTTCAAAGGTCCGCACCCGTACTTTCTGGGTTAGAAGCACTCGGCAGGAATCGACGACGCTTTCCGAACGCGAAAATGCGTGCTGTGATCGCGCAACGACCGCCTCATCGTCCTGGCGTGGCGCTGTCCTGCGCCCTAAATACCACCCTTTGTCACCGGATTCGAACTCCGGGGCCGGAGCGCGCATTCATTCATCGCAACGGTTCAAATTTTCGAATGTGCCCCGGCGCATCCACCAAATTTCAAAATAAAATTAAATAATATTTTTAATCTACTCATGTTGAAACTTTTTCGCTAAAATTGCAAGTAAAATAAGGCTTTCAGCATATTTTTTTTTACAAAAAAAAAACATTTTTTCAGTGTTTAAGAGACATAAATGTTTTTTTATTACAATTACATTTTATCTCAAGTTTACTAAATACTTAATTTTTTTTTTTTAATTAAACTACTCCACAAAAGTTAAGGAAGTGTGTAATAATTACAATGATTAATTAAATTAATAAATTATTAAAAAATCAAATAATAATTAATTAAAAGTGATATCAAGGCAGATAGCATTTTACTTTTTTGTTTTTGCTGGCTTCCACAATGCTTACTCGAATAAAATTTGTTTGTTGTAAAAATAATGCGACTTCTTTAACTTTTCTAGAGCAGTCTATTTTAAATTCTGAAGAGTTACCAAGAAATTAAAAAAATTTGCAAAGTATTGCTAGAAATCCGTTTGAAAAGTATAGGAAGTTTTTATTAATTCAAATTTTTTTACAGCTTACTCAAATTTGGTTTATAATATTTATACGGGGTGCGCCAGAACTCGCGCCCCAAAAAATGCCATATAATGTAGGATATCAAGAACATGGAAAAAAT